CGGCTTGTGTTCTTCGAGCCGCGGTTTGCGGCCAGCCCGCGGCCGATTCATTTTTTTTCGTTTTTTTAATTAAAAATGTTTTTAAAGTAATTAAGAGAGTTAATACTAAATTTTTTTTTTTCAATAATGCTTAAATATGAATATTCATCAATAAAATTTAATAAAGAAATTAAATATTAATATTTCTAAGAATATTAAATATTAAATATTTTGTAATAGTACTTAAATATGAATATTAAATATTAATATTTATACCTAATATATATTACAAATTATATTGATAATTATACTAATTATGATACTAAGTATTATATTAGTATAAATTAATTAGTATTTAGGATAATTAAAAATTCTATTTATACTAATATATTAGTTATACTACTATATTAGTTATACTACTATATTAGTTACACTACTATATTTAGGATAATTAAACATTCTATAAATACTAATTTAGGATAATTATTAGCACAATTATACTTCTAATTATACTACCTACTCAACTACTATAAAATTAAATTAATTATATTATAAAAAATTATATTAGCATTAAATATTAAGTTATAATTAGAATGAATTTCTTATAAAACTTAATTTATAATATTATAAATTATTTTATTAACTTATTAACATATATGGTAAGCAGGGGTCAATCGAAGATTTTGGAGGAGACGGTGTTGATTACGGATGTTGTTTCGCTACAAGTGACCTATTTCATAGTTGTGACGAAGCTGTTAAATGGGAAAAAAACATTGCAATAATATGGGGTTTCCAGTTGGTGATCTCGAGAAACATAAATAACGGAGGAAAAGAGTTGAGGTGTCATCGAGGGGAACGTTACAGAGGTACTGCAGGAAAAGTAGGAAATTTCGTTAAGGCTGTTATGAGAAAATCGAAAACAAAAGCCACCGGCTGCCCTTTTATGATAAACGTCAAACGTGATGCAACATCCAAAAAATTTTGTATCTCGGTTCCTTTAGATGACGAGAAGGGGAAGCATAATCATGCGTTTGTTGTGAATCCCTAGGGTCAGCGACAGATGAGCGGACTCAGCGATCCATCCAGAGAGATTGTCCGTGATATGAGTTCTGCTCAGGCACCACCGGCAGTAATTCTGGCTGCAATTCACGAGAAACACCCTGTGGACAACGCAACTATCCGACAAGTGTATAATCATAAAGCTAATTTGCGGAAAGAAAGTTTGGAGGGGAGAGATGTGCCTGGGCAGCTTCTACATTTGTCTACGGTCAGCAAGTACATAGTTTATACTGACGTTAATCCGAACACACAGGCGTTGACACATGTGTTTATGTCGCATCCACAAGCAGCCAGTTTATTCCGGACATATTACTGGTATGTCGGTATAGATTCCACGTACAAAACCAACAGGTATGTTACTTTACTTTATAAATAGACAGTTGATTGTGAATCTTATTTTAATTATTATGTTTGATTGAGTAAGTTTTTTTATTGTATGTTTTATCTTCTTGTTACAGGAATCATATGCCGTTGGTGGAGATGGTTGGGATGACGCCGTGCAATAGAAACTTCTTAATTGCCTATGCAATTATGAAGGACGAGAGCGCGTCCAGCTATGACTGGGTCCTACAGCGGTTGAGACTTCTTCTAGAGCCAACTAAAAGTCCTTCAGTCATTGTCACTGACAGGGAGTTGGGGTTGATTACTCCTATCCACACGAATATCCCACAGTCGGCCCACCTATTGTGCACGTGGCACATCAACAAAGATGCGGAAGACAATGTGTATAAACTAACATCAAAAAATAAGGTCTTCGTAGAGAAGTTCACGCACGACAAGTGGAAGAAGGTCATCGAGGCGAGCACGTTGGATGCATACGAAGCTGCCTTAGCTGATATGAATGCTACATACGTGAAATTTCCTCGTGTGCTAGAATATGTGAAGAAGACATGGTTAGGCTATTAGGAGAAATTTGTCAGAGCGTGGACGAACTCATTGTTATATTTTGGCAACACGACGACGTGTAGGGTGGAGAGTGCCCACGCTACGTTGAAGAGGTGGCTTCACACGTCGACCGGTTCGCTTGACATGGTGTGGGAGAAGATTGACAAGGAGATTGAGTCTCAAATGACTCAAGTCAGGTATATTCCTTAATTTATATATATTATTGTGTTATTACTGTATTCATTATATAATATGTTTGATTTATGCCTAATGTTATGTAATGTATTACCAGGGAGACGCTAGAGTCTTCGAGACATAGGATGCATATGGGTTACCATGGATTCCCATTCGCGCAGTTGAGATTGCGAGTTTCGCATTATTGTTTGGATCTATTGAATGATGAGTTTCAGAGAATGCGAGACTTGGGCGAAGATATTTTGGATCGCTGCGGATGTGTACTGAGTTACACTCATGGGCTTCTTTGTGCCTGTCAGCTAAATGGGGCATATACTATGAGTATGGAAATTACGCCCGACATGATTCACGAGTTCTGGAGCACACTAGTGGTGAATGAGCCAAGTATAATTGTGATGTTGAGTGTGTTGTTTAATTTTTTCACGTATTCTTTCATTTATATAATTAATTATTTATAGTGTGTTGTTTAATTTTTTAAATTTTTGTAACGGACAGGTCACCAGAGTGCATCAGGAAGTGGATGGACAGATCGTGATAATTTTCGGAGGCTTGCATTAGAGGTTGAAGAGGCCGATCCTGCAACGCTGAGGTACGTTACTCAGTTCATGGACTCTACACTTCACCCCGACCAACAAGGTTACACAGAACCTCCAGTGATTGAAAATCCGAGAGGTCGGCCCAAGAAGCCTAATTCAACAAAGCGAGATCCATCCAAATGGGAGTACAGTCAAAGAGGCCGCCGTAAAAGCACTTCTTCGTATGCTCAATCACAGTCGGAGTACATGGATACAGATCGCTGGGTTGGGCGTAAGAGCACTTCTTCGTGTGCTCCATCGGTCTGGGAGTACAGGGAAAGAGGTCGTCCAGTGGGGCGTAAGAGCACGTCTTCATCTGCACCGACAAGCTTGTCTTCTCAACCTTCTGATGATCCGACAGGTGATTTTTATTTTTTTATTTATCTGTACAATAATTAATCATGTTTGTAAATTCGATTATTTAAATTCTGACGTGAAATTATTCTAATATTACAGAGACTTTCTCGACGCCCTTCTTTTAATATATATATCAAAAAATTTGAAAAAAAAATCAAACATTACGAAAAAATTTAATATAAAACCGAAAAAAATCGAAAAAAAAAACGAATTAATCAACAAAAAATGTCGGGACAATTCTAAAGCGCCGGGAAAGGGCTCTCCAATTCACAAGTAATATTTTTTTTTGTTTACAATTTTAATGAATTAAAAAAAATTCTGGACGCAGGGCGGCAGGCGAATGCGGCCGCATTCGTATTATGTCGACCGGCGATTGCGGCTCGATATTGTTGGGACAGTTGTTAATTGCGGCCTACTCCATTTCTGCCGCATTCTAAGGGTGCGGCCTGTCCCCATAGGGCCGCTACTAGCGGCCGTTTTTTTGTTCTTCAAGCCGCGCTTTGCGGCCGGCCTATGTGCTCTGGGCCGCCCCCGACCCAGATATTTTTTTTTCATTTTTTTAATTAAAAATGATAAATTTAAGAAAGTTAATAATAAATTTATTTTATTATTTTGAAATAATACTTAAATATAAATATTCAATAATATAATTTAATAAATATATTAAATATTAAAATTTTATTATTTTTTTTTTCATTTTTTTATGATCCGACAGGTGATTTTTATTTGAACGATAATTAATCATGTTTGTAAATTCGATTATTTAAATTCTGACATGAAATTATTCTGATATTACAGAGACTTTCTCGACGCCCTTATTTGAATATCGACATTCTGACAAAATTCCCTACTTAGTGCATCCCTACGTAGAGAGCTATCTAGATGTGACACCGGATGGGAACTGCGGATTTCGGGTGGTGGCGAGTTACGTGTATAGGGATCAGAATATGTGGCGTTACGTCAGAAACAACATGGTAAATGAGATTTTAGCAAACAGACAACGATACGATCCTTTGTATTACCATGCCCTCGATGTCGCAGTCAATCGAATAAGATGGGAAGGGGGTGGTTGTGGGCAGGAGCATTGGATGGAAGGTTTAGGCGACCTCTTTGTAATTGCTACATTGTTTAATGCAGTTGTCGTGTTGTTAGGCAAGGGTGAGACAAATGACAATATCGACTGGAATAGTTTGACATTCTTGCCGCTGCACGCACCATCCACCGCTACGGGACCTGATCGCGAGATCGTGATAGGTCATCTCGGTTCTTACAAACACTACATTCGTCTTAATTTATCATCTGATTCTCCATTTCCCCCTATATGTTCATTCTGGGATAGATACCGAGATGGGACGGTCGCAGAATATGCTAATTTGTACCAGAGGAGGATCAAGTTGTGGCGTCTTATTCGTAGTACAACTGGATCGTGATATACTATGATATTCTACTTATGTATTATGGGTGATACCGATATTGTGCACCATTTTCTTTTATTTATTTATTAATCTATGATATTAGAGGCGTGACGCGCAGACACATAAGATTCAAATGAGCTAACAACAAATAAAAGAACAAAAAACAAAAACAGTTCAACCAAAAGTAACTTGTACGTACAACAAAGTCAATAATATAAGATATATATAAAAAAAAAACATTCAGCCCATCACCGCTTCGCCCTATCGCAATCGGCATTAAGTAGGTTCAGCTCACGTGCAAATTGCGCAGCCAACTCAGAACCATCACTCTCCAATCGCCGCAGCTGGTCTGCCCACACGGATTGGTACCGTCCGACCCACTACACAAAATAGATGAATTAAAATATATGATGACATATAAATTTTTTTAAAAAAAATGTAATGACAGAATATTAACTAAATTTTATTATCACATATAAATTTAAAAAAAAAATGTAATGACAAAATATTAACTAAATTTTAGTCAAAGACTTACATAATCGTAGTTGGCGCGCGCAGGGATCGCGTCGGCGTCCGGCAGAGTCTGAGGCAGAAGTCTAGGATGATAAACCCGCTCATACCATCTCAGATAGTCTCGATGGGTCTGCCCTCGATCATCTACGGGGGTCTCCGTAAAATCAGACAAGTGCAGAGAATGAGGGACCGAGAACTGGTTCCAGCTATCCTCGGCTGCATTATCAGCATGCTCAACCGTGTACGACTGAGACTCACAAGGCCTATTTACCTGTGTCAGACGGTAAATGCCAAGAGGGACAATCTGGACGTAGCCTAACTGACGCAAACACCGCAGAGGCATGTAGGGCTCCACAATATCCCGGTACCTAAGGTATCCGAAATAAAGTGTCCTAGGCTCTACCTCATGTGGCTTGCGCTCGTATGGCAGCCAGTTCACCTGTTCACAATTGCATAAAAACATTGATTCAAAAATTCGATTATTTGAAATAACTTTCAACTAAATTTAAATAAATTAACTTTACGTACATCGGCAGCGGTGAGTGTGTCAATCTGCCTCCGAAAATCCTCGAGACGCGCATC